CGCCTGACCTTTCACTGCTTTTCTAGGTTCGAAAGTGATTTCAAGACTTTGCATTTCAATAGCCCATTTCAACATTCTTCCGGAAGACTCCAAGGTAGACATTGGCCGCTTGAGGGCTGGTCGGTGTAGATTACCACCGGATGAGCCAGAAAGTATGGCTTCAATTTCTTGAAAGCCATATACAGAGCAAGGCCAAATTTTTCTACCATGGGGTACCGGAGCTCGGCATTTTTTAAGACATGGCTAATGAAATAGACCGGAAGCTGAACACCGTCTCTCTCAGCAAGGAGAACGGCACTGAGGGCATGGTCTGAGACAGCTAAGTACATGTATAACACCTCCCTAGGCAATGGACTAACAAGTCTTGGCAAAGAGTGGAGGTGTTCTTTCAGCCGTTGAAAGGCCGCCTCAGCCTCATCCCCCCATTCAAATCTGGTCTTCTTCCTGATTGCTTGGAAGAAGTAAAGGCATTTGTCACCTGACCGGCTGAGGAATCTCCCCAGAGCAGCCAGGCAACCGGTTAGTCTCTGCGTTTCCTTGACAGTGCGGGGTGACTTCATGTCAATCACCGCCTGTATCTTCTCAGGGTTAGCCTCTATCCCCCTTTGATCAATCAGGAATCCGAGAAACTTCCCAGACTCAACACCAAAGACGCATTTCTTAGGATTTAACATGACCTTATGCCGCCTGAGTGTGGTGAAGGTTTCTCGGAGATCAGCAAGGTGATCTGTCTGCTGTTTGGATTTGACTATCATGTCATCAATGTATGCCTCTACATTCCTCCCAATTTGATTAACAAAGACCGTGTTAATCATCCGCTGGAACGTAGCCGGCGCATTTTTCAAGCCAAACGGCATCACCGTGTAACAGAATAGCCCCTGATCAGAGACGAAGGCCGTCTTCTCTTGATCTTTCTTCCACAGGGGTATCTGATGGAAGCCGGAGTAGGCATCCATAAAACTCATCAAGGCGTGACCGGCTGTAGAGTCGACCAGACTGTCGATCTTTAGGAGCGGATAACTGTCCTTTGGACACGCCTTGTTGAGGTCTGTGTAATCAACACACATACGCCAGGTCCCATTCGGTTTCTTAACAAGGACCACATTGGCCACCCAGTCGGGAAAATTACAAGGCCGAATGAACCTGGCATCTAGCAGCTTTTTGACTTCGGCAGCTGCCGCCTGACTTCTTTCCTCGCCGTGGTTTCTTTTCTTTGCCGGATGGGATTCTTTTTGGGGTCCACGGCGAGTTTGTGGACAGCGAGATCCGGGCTGACGCCTGGCATCTCTTCCACTTCAAAGGCAAAAATGTCTTTGAATTCCTTCAGCAGAAGGTGCAAGCTTGCACCCAAAGTAGCATGAGCAACCGTCCCAACCTTAACAGTACGTTCTGGACGGCTGTCATCCAGAACAAGATCAATGCTTTCTCCAGCCGGTTGGGGACGGAGCTCATCTGACCGCTCACCGGTCAGTGATTGCTATTTTTTCTCTTTCTTCACCTCCACCAGCAGAGGTGCCTTTCTTTTCTTACCGGCTGTTGGTGGGGCGGGTGCTGGATCGGCATCCTTGACATTGTCAAGGTCTATTGGTTCCTGGACACCTGGGGTTACAGTGTCCCTGACGGCTGAGAGGTAGCACTCCCGAGCCGTCTTTTGATCCCCATTTAGGGAATCAACAGTGCCATCATCCTTCTCATACTTGATGAGCATGAGAGATGGGATGATTACCGCCTTGGCTACGTTGAGGGTTGGCCTGCCAAGGACAATGTTATAGGCGGTCATTTCCTCAACGACCGAGAACCTGACAACAATATGTCGCCCTTGGCCCTTCTCTCCCAGCCGGATGGGTAAGTCGATCCTTCCGGCTAGGTAGACCATCCCACCCCCAAAACCAACCAAGGGGTGGGTTACCGGATGCATGCTGCTGATATTGTATTTCAGCTTCTGCAGGCACCGGAGGCTGATGATGTCTGATGAGCTGCCGGTGTCAATAAGGATTCGTCTAACCAGCTGGTTGGCAACCTTACATTCAATGACCACCGGGTCATCATGCGGGGCGGCGGACGCTGCCCCTGTCCTTCTGAGTGATCAAGACGTCTGGGAAGGAAGAGCTGGCTTCCGCCTGCTCATCATCATCTTTGTCCATCTTTCGAAGATGGCTCTTGGTGCCCCTTATGGTAGGGCCACCACATGAAAACCCGCCTGCTATAGTGTAGACCGGCTCCTTGTCGGTATCCGAACTACTAGCAGGCTGGGGGGTAGTCTTGGAGGACTGACCCTTGTTTTTCTTTTTTGCCCCGGCTGGGGACTTAGAAATATAGGACTTCAGCATCCCCTTGTCAGCTAGACGGTCCAACGTCCGTTGTAGGCTGAAGCAGTCGTTGGTGTCATGGCCAACTTCCTCATGGTATTGACAAAATTTATTTTTGTTCCTAGATTGAACGGAACTTTTCATTGGATTCGGCTTCTCAAGGGACCCTTTATCTCCATGAGGATGGAGTTGCAGTCCTTGTTAAACTCGTACTTGGGGACGTACGGTTTAAATTCTTTCTTCTTCTTCTGGGACGGCTGGTCAGAATCACTAACCGCCCAGACCTCCTTTCTCTTCTTGCTCTCTTCTTTCTTTTTAGCCGGCTGAGTAGGCCGGTTGTCTTTCTGCTTGTCAGACTTCTTAGAGTCCGACTGGCTACCAGGCGAGCAGAGATCGGTAGCTTGAATATAGCTTTCCGCCTCCCTCAGGGCCGCCTGTAGGGTGAAAGCCCCTTTTCTGACAAGGTCGAACTTAAAGGTCGACCCGTTTCTCAGACCCTTAAAAAAGTCTGTAAAAGCTACCTCATCAGACAACCCCTGAATCTGAATTCTGATCAGGTTGAACCACCTGACATATGAGCGCAGCCCTTCTCTCTCTGCCTGCTTAACAGTGCTCAAATCAAGGCTTGTTTTCTTAGCAGGGATGTTCATTGAGAAGTTAGAGGCAAACAGGAAGGCAAGCTTCCTGAAGCTGTCTATGGACCCGGCTGGCAGATTACCAAACCATTGTTGGGCAATGCCCTTCAACGTAGCCGGGAAGCATCGACACCAAGTGGCATCATCCAACCCCTGGAGATACATGAGGTTGGTATAAGCCATGAGGTGATCTTCCGGATTGGAGGTACCATCATAGGTACCAACCAACACATTCTTAACCTTGGCCGGCTGAGCCGCCTCGGTTATCTCCCGAGTGAACGCAGAAGGTTGTTCACCCAAGCGTAGCAGACGAAGCTGTCAGTCCAAAGGCTGGACGTTTGGATATGCCGCCTGACCCCCAAAGAAGGCCGGCTGCATGAAGTGAGGAGGATACTGCCCGTAGGCCTGAGTAGGCATATACGGGACAACTCCAATCATATGAGGGCCAGAATGGACGGTATTACCGCCTGTCTGACTCTTATGCAAGGAAGGTGCACTCCCTGCAAAAATGTTGTTGAAGCTGTCTGGAAAATTCGACGTTGAAGCCGACTCAGACAGTGATTGATTTCTCTTCCGGTTGATGATCTCCCAGGCATCAATAGTTGATATTTTTCTTCTCACCGGCTGCTGAGGCCGGCGAGTGATGTTGGTGTTCCTCCCAGGGAGGAGAATTTTTTACCAATCAATGGTCCCGGCTGCCTTCTCCTTTGGATGGGGAGTGGGCTGCCGGTTTCTGACTGACTTCCCCTTCTCTGGAGGAGTCTTCTTCGCCGACTGGCCTTTACTTGGACCAGCCCGACTCTTGGTGATCAGCTCTGTAATTTCACCCTTGAAACTTGTCATGAATCTCATGAGTTCATCTCGAGTGACAGGGGCTGATCCAGCGGCCGTTTGGGTTTCCCCTTCCGGCTACCCAGAGGGTCGACTTGGACCCGCCTGGGAGGCACCCCGCTCCAGAGTGTCTCTGGGCCGGATGCGTTTAGTTCTGAGAGAGCCGTCTTCGGCTGTGAAAGCTTCGACCTGAGGATCTTCATCCTCCTCATGGTCTGTAAAAACTTCTGGGTCTTCACCCAGACGGTTAGGGGGTGGTACAAACTCTTGAACCATCTTCGAGGTACTCTCCCCACAGACGGCGCCAAATGTTTTGGGTGATTTTGTCCCTTGGGAGAGTTACGTCACGAAGTCTGATTCCGGCTGAGCTACACCTGCAAATTAACGGAGACTCCGGGTGGTTGGAGCTCCGCCTCCGACGGTCAAGTTAGAGACTTGAAACGGAATGAAGAGAACGGAAATTTAGGTAGGGATCTGCTCGGATTCCAAGCTCAGGTCTTTCTCTGATGTGAGAGAATAAGGGTGTAATAAATGATTCAATCTGTCCCCAAAATGGGGAAATATCTCCCTATTTATAGGGTCGTTGGGAAAAGTGCCCCTACCTAGGTCACTTGACCTAGATTTTAGTGGGCTGCACCATTTTACGGCGCTCCTAGGAATCTGGGCCTTTGAAGGCCGCCATTTCGGAAACATATATGAGGGCGCCAAGTGTCAAGAGGATGCTGAGCCACATGGGCCATCCTAAGCTCGACACGTGGCGACCTCTCATTGGTCCACGTGTCAAGAGGATGTTGGGCCACATGGGCCATCCTGAACTCGACACGTGGAGAGCTCTCATTGGCCCACATGTCTAGGGTAAAAATACCCTAAACAAAACCCATACTAGCTTAAAGTTGTGTGGTTTAATGTTGGAATGGATCATATTCTTTATTAAAAGAATGGATTGTGAATCTTAAGGGGGGGAGATGGGTATGGGATTCCATAAGTATGGGGTGGAGTTAGAATCCCTTAGGTATGAGATTCCATTACTAAAAGACTCAACCAAACAAAAAAATAAATGGAATGGATTCTAACTCCATTCCAAATGATCGAACCAAACGACCCCTAAGTGTTAAGTACGGAGTACTCCGTATTGATTAAGTCCTGATTTGGGACCGGTTTAAATGATTTGGTCCAACTGTCCAAATCCGGTTTTGAATTCAATATTTTCAGTCTCCGGTTTGGTTTGGTTTGGTTTGGTTTGGTGTTGAGTGTTGACCAATGAAAGTCCTGTTTTACCGGAGCTTTTCAATTTTACGCTGCACGGCTGCACCCTTTTCCACTGAAGCGTACTCCGAATCCTCCATTGAAGCGGCTTCTGAGCTATCTATCCTCCATTGAAGTAGCTGCTCAGCTTTCTTTCGTCCATTGAAGCAAGCTTTTGAGGTAAGATTTTTATTTTCATTTCTTTAATTATCGTTTTAATTTTACAATCTAGGGTTTAGTTTCACACTATCGTTAATTTAATTGTCAGTAAGGTCAATTTAGGGTTCTTCTAAGATGGATTGTTGAACTTATCTTTGTTATAGACTTATAGTTGCTGAAGTTTGAAAGATTATAACGAGTAATCTTGTTGCTAGAATTTTTCAATTTGCAATTTACTTTGATTTTTGTAAGCGAGATGAGTTTAATGTGAATTTTCGAGCCTAATTTGATAATTGAATCAATTTTTTTTGCTAATGTTGTACGTGCTATTTACTTTGATTTTGTAAGCGAGATGAATTTAATGTGAATTTTCGAGCCTAATTTGATAACCGAGTCAAGTTTTCTTGCTAATGTGTTGTACGTGCAATTTACTTTGATTTTTGTAAGCGATATGAATCTAATGTGAATTGTTGAGCCTGATTTGATGATTGAGTCAAGTTTCTTGCTAATGTGTTGTAGGAACTACCCTTAAGTGTTAGGAACTTAGAACAAAACTATGGCAACGAACCTTTTCTCCCAAGGTCATGGTGGCCTCCCCTCCTGCCTCGGCTCAGGGACCACCCACATCCATGAGCTTGAGCTGAGATGTATGCTTGGAATTCTTCCATTTTACGGAGTATATAAACAATGTGATATAGGGAGCATTCAATAGGGAATATCTATTATTAGTATGACAACCACATTTTAATGCTGAAAATTATCCTGAATGATTTTGTGCGGATTTAGAGGTTATCCATACTGTTTGGTTTAGCAACAATGGGATTAGCTTAATTGAAGGCCATGGAAAATGATTTAGGTGGATAACATCATATATGATGGCTCATATAGTACTTGGTCTGCATGTTTGAACTTTTGAAGCATCGTCTACAGGTTTACACGATTGGAGAAGCCTTGTCTCTCTCCTCTTGTGTGAAGAAAGATTACCAGCTTTGATCATTTTTACGGACTGAACCTTGCAAATCTAAAGATCCACTAACTTGCCATAGCCTTTAACAGCTTGGACCTCGTCATTGTCTTTACCAATTCATTCCTGTGGTGTAGTTTAGATATGAGAGAAATGTCTCAATATTGAAGATATCCAAAGAGAATGAAGGCCAAAAGTTGAAACAGGTGCTTGTTTTGGACAGGGGAAGGGGGTGTGGATGTTGGTGCTTAATCTGAAGGTTGTTATAGGGTCTTAGGCAAAAGGGGGTGAGTAAATTGTGCATCCTTTACAGTCTACATGTCATGGAGTTTGTTTGAAGTTCTACTTTCAATCGTGAGTTTATCAACCACAGATAAGCTGTTGTATGATTTGGCCATTGGTGGGCAGCGTGTTGGTTTAAATGCTGACCTTTTCCTTGGTGGGGTTTGCCTGTTTAGTCTAATTCTTTGGCTTCCCATATCTGTATTGTGTATTCTTTATGATTAGCGATTTGTGTTAGTAGTTTGGTATTCTTTTCTGTGCCTAATAGAGTGCTCATTTAAATTGACACTTCTGTTCGAATAACCTAAACTTGGTATTTTAGCTGAATGTTCAGGTGATGACTCTGGCTTCTTTGTCCAAATCACTCTTTCAAAAGAAACTTATATCGTACTGGACTCAAAACTTGTTTTTGGCTTGAATTTATATAATGTAATGCTATAAATTTTTATGATGTGGAAGTTGTATTTCAATAGCTAATGGCCAGTAAAAACTCTTATTTAAATTTGCTATACTTTTAGAAATTGTCAAGTGAAGATTTTGTACTCTGAAAACCTTCGTTTTCTTCCCTTTGTTTGATCACTGAGGAAGAGGTCAATTAGTAGGATCTCATTCTTCTCTATTAACTATCATATATTCATATATGAGCTAGTAAAAACTTATTTTTTTGAGACAAGTAAAAACTCTTATTTAAATTTGCTATACATCTAAAAATCATCAGGTGAAGATTTTGTACTTTATAAACCTTCGTTTCTCTCTTTGTTTGATCACTGAGAAAGAGATCAAATAGGAGGATCTCTTTTGTTTTTATTAATTATCATATATGAGCTTATTGTTGTATTTCTTAAATTTATGTAGCAGTGTTCAATACCGTAATAGCTTTTTTTTTAAAGTGGTTTCCGTTCAATGTGGACATGTGTATCAGCGCATGCACACATACATGTATGTACAATAACACACTGTTATCAGTTGATGTGGGAAAAAATATCCCTTTCTGTGCAATGGATGCTGTAATTGTATTGAAGTAGCTGAATTAGTGAATTGCATTTCTTTGTTTGCACTTTTAAATAAACAGGAGATCTTGCATTTTCCGCCAGATCTGATGCATTTGGTGCTTCCCTGTAATCATGTGTGCGTTTGCGTGTGGGTGTATGTTTCTATATACTTTGGAAGCTACCGTATCTGGATTGCTGGAATAGATAATTACTGTAGTCAATTTTGTTTATGTGCTAGTGTGGCACTTTTTTTATTTTTTTTCCTGATCCTGCATTTTCATTTGAATATCTGCTGGTTGATCCCTTTTGTTTTTTTTTTTTCTCCCTTTTTTGCAGGCTTAGTATCCATTTGTGAACACCATGATTTGAACCAAGTACATTTCCTACCAGGGTCCAGGGCTTGATAGCTGGTTGCTGTTTGCCATGGCGCCTAAAGCTTAAGCCACATACTTTGGTTTCTGTTCTAAAACCAGCTTAATTGATTCAAATGGTGACCAATGTCCCTATTCCTACAAGGTAGCAACAATTTAATCATTGAGGTTTTGAATATTATGACCTGAATTGCTTGTCTAGTGGTCCATCACCACTCTTAATTCCTACTTTTTGGCTTGTAGGATTCGTCCACACTATCTTCTACATTTGTGAACAGCTTAATCTGATACAAACTTAAGTTTTACACATAGCAATGGCTGCTGCTGCTGATACTACAACCTATGATGAGAATTCTGAATACGTGGATCCTGATTGGACTGTTGTCCTACCTCGGAAAAGTAGAAAATGTCAGTCTAAAGTGTCTCGCACAGAGAAAGAGGTAAAAGAACAGTCATTTGCCCCACCTGACCTTGAAATCAATCAAGAGAGAGAGTCAAAATTAATGCAGAAAATTGAGAGTAGCTTGAAGAAACTTGAGAGCTCCAAGTTTTTTGACCTTTTCTTGAGTCAGATTGAAGACCCTGAAGTCTTCAATTGTTTTTCCAGGGTTTTAGGGTCTGAACCAAATATGAACATGGTGGTGTATGGTATAGGCAGCATTGAGTCTTTTGAAGCTCCGCGGTTGCAGCTTTGTTTAGTGATCTTGATGAAGAGAAAGTTTGAATGGGTAGGTAATATCGAGGTATTTGATCCGGTTCTATCTGGGACTGAAACCCGTGTTCTGGAATCTTTTGGCTGTTCTGTCATATCAGTGAATGAGGAAGGTAGAAGACAGGCTTTAAAACCCACATTATTCTTCATGCCTCATTGCGAGGCTTTATTGTATCACAATTTGCTAGAGGTAAATTGGAATGTAGATATGTTGAGAAACATGGCGCTATTTGGAAACAGTTTTGAGTCGTACGAACATCACAATTCTGTAGTCAAGGACTACATAGCTTCTCCATACACGAAGCGTATCCTGGCTTCTCGGAGCTTTGCGAAGGAGTTCAGAGTCAAAACAGGGCCAGATGATCATAATAGAGCCTTTTATGAATCCAGTTGGCTTTTTTTCAACCCTAATGATGAGCATGAGGTGCCCATTATCTAGTTAATAACTGAACCTGTAAGTGGTGTGTGTGATAGCTGTCAACTTATTGCATTATTAAACAGCACAAGTTTGCAGCAGGTGCACAACACAATTGTTGTATCATTTATTCATTTGTAACTCTTTTATAACATGTATCAGAACTGTTTCACACGTCACCTGCGATTTTGCTGTGAATCCTGTGATTGTTTTTTCATCATATGATAAATGGCTTCACCCAGGTAATTGATCAAGAACTGCACAAACATTTTCCTCCTAATGTACGCCTGCATGAGTTTGATTCTTTAATTTTCTTTGAATAATGTGCACAGAATGATAATGTTGTTACCCGCTCTATTTCAGTATTACTCTGTCAAAATATAGCAGTAAAATCTTAGATTTGGCAGTAGCATGTTTTATTTATTTCTTTTTTTTTTTTTTTTATGAAGGAAACGCAGCAGTAGTATAAACAGCCTGGACATGAAAAGTCGAGAACCTGTACTGCAAGGTTTTGTGCAATGCTTTTGGGTACTAGTATGTGTGCCAACACTGCGCAGGTGTTCAGATACATCTAGTAAGCTTTTGAGCCATGCTTGAGTACCTTTCGGCTCGCCCAGCTTAACAATATTGTGGTTTACTTGTGCCAATGAGGACCTACAAAGATCAAAATTCATACTTATTTTCTAAAAAAAGTTTGAAAAAATTAATTTGAAATTCACAAGGCAAATGGAACGAGTAATTTGGTAAAGGACTTTTGGACCACGATCACAGTGCTTCAATTTGTGCACTAGACTTTGGTGTTACCTGCATTTTTGTGTGGCACAAAGTGTATGTAATCTGTAATGGACGGTTGCTTTGTCTTCGGGTGAAAGTAGGACAACAATTAATTAAAAAATGAGTTTCACTTTTTAGAAAGATTTTTACTTGTTTGGTTGTTATTTATCATACATCCATTAACTAATCTTTGAATTTCGAGGGGACATAGAATCATCACATAATAAAAAATTGATTAGATGAGGTATATAAGATTATGAGTAGCACTTTTGAAAATTTCCTCTTAAGGTGTTATAAAATCTCATTAATGCCCTTTAATTAAATTATAAATTACTAATAACATTTTGATATACTTATACTACCTCCGTTTCTTTTTAGTTGACACGTATTCCTTTTTAGGAAGTTTTTTTTAGTTGACACGTTTCCTTTTAGGGTAACTTTTTTACCTTACATTTACAAACTACCCCACTTGCTTTTTCATTCTCTTTTATCTCTCCTCTTCTTAATATATGCCTAAATCAAACGCGCCAACTAAATAGAAACGGAGGAAATATTTATTACGAACATTATCAATGTTGCACACATAAATGATAAATCCAACTCACAAAGTCACAACTCACAACCATATGTCCATATTAATCGAATTTTAATCAAATTTAAATTTGTTTTGCTATCTCATAAAACACAATCATAACAAAGATTTTTTTTTTTTTAAAAAAAAAAAAATTATACTGTATAATCATTACAAAAACACACATTCGTGAAGTTTAAATTAAAATATTACCTTAGAAAAGTCTTTCACTCACCAATAATTTCCATTTTTTTATCAAAAAAAAAAAAAAAAAAAAAATACCGAGTATCCGTTATCTAAAACGCGTCGGCCTTGACAGTTGACACTTCGCTCTCTCTCTCTCCCGTTTCTACAACTCAAACAGTTAACTATATTTGAAAAACACAATCTCAAAAAAAAAAAAAAAAAAAAAGAGGGAATTACCGATTTACCCTTTTCTCTCTCCTCTAAATTGTCTCAACTGTAAATTGTATTCTTCTTCTTCTTCCTTTTTCTTTCCTTCAAAGGCAGCTCTCTCCACTATTTTCTTTCCTTTTTTTTTTCCTCTCTCATAAATCAACAAAAAAAATCCTACTCTCAAATTCTTCCAGAAAAATCCCTAAATAAAATTCACAAAATCTCAATTATCAACTTTATCATTGATTATCAATCTTAATTTTATCCCTGATTTTTTCAATTTTAATTTCTATCATTTTCTTGATTTTTTCTTCAATCCCCCCTTTTGAAACCCTAAATTCTCATTTCCACATCCCAAACCCTAATTTCGCAATCATTTGCCTTTCTGATTGTGTAATTAGTTCCGAATTTATTGATTTCAAGAGGAATTGAATAAATACCCTAAAATAAAATTAAAAATAAAAAAAATTTATGGCGAGTTTCGAAGAGAATCGCGAGTTGTCGACTAGCAAGCCATCGATTTCGTCGAAGAATTCTGTGTTTAGTCGGTCAATGACGACGCATTCTTCCGTCGCGAATACCTTCTCGAAGAAAGGATACGTTTCGTCTGCCGCTTCGACGGTCGTTGATCGAAACGCGGCGAATATGAAGAAATGGTACAGCAATACCTTTGATTCAGCTGGTACTTCAATCAAAGGGAAGGTTAGGCAGCTTCGAAATTTGTTTGAATCCCAAAAATCATCAAATAATAATAATCATAATAATAGTATTGTTAAATGTAATTCCCAAAAAGTTGAAGAATCGCCTTATAATCATCATTTAGCAAAATTAAGACCTGCTAAATCATTCAGTTCTGATTTTAAGGATTGTTGGTCGATTTTGGATGTTTCTACCATTCGATTTCCGGGTACTGAGGATAGAGTTGTGGTATATTTCACTAGTTTGAGGGGAATTCGGAGAACCCGGGAGGATTGCGATGCTGTCCGGATGATTTTCCGGGCTTATAAAGTGTTCGTCGATGAAAGGGACGTTTCGATGGACGCTGCTTATAGGAAGGAGATACAGGGGTTGCTTGGTGAGAAGAATGTGACATTGCCACAGGTTTTTATTAAGGGGAGGTATGTAGGTGGGGTTGAGTTGATCAGGCAGTGGAACGAAACCGGTGAGCTTCGAAAGATTCTTCAGTCATTGCCAACGAGGGATAGACGGTTCGTGTGTGATAGTTGTGGTGATGTGAGGTTCTTGCCCTGCTCCAACTGTAGTGGTAGTAGGAAGATATTCGACGAGGATGAGGAGGTGATGAAGAGGTGCTTGGAGTGCAATGAAAACGGGCTGATTCGATGCCCGGAGTGTTGTCTGTGAATTACTCCCATGATCACTACTTATGTGATCCAGGTATATTGGTGTGAAAATGATAATTGAGTAGCTAGTTTGTGTGTTTTTAGCTTATGGTCTGGCTTGAATATAACCCCCTTTTTACGGTTTCAGCCTTATCGCGGAGATTTGGTTGTACATTGTTCATAGACTCGTGATGAACAATAATTATGTATGTCATTGATACAAATGATACTTTATAGTATGTACTGAACTAGTGTGACTCCTTGCCGAAAAATGAAAAAATAAAAAAAAATATTCAAACATATTGAATAGAGGAGATTAGCATGTTAGTGCTGGTGTGCTCCATTGTAGCTTGGGAGATGATGGGCATTTCCCTTGACTTGCAGTGTAAATTTACTATGTTGTATATATTAATGACTCTTTTTTCCTTTTCGCAATTGCGCAAACTGAAGCTGTTGTAATGAGAAGGGCTATACTATGGTTTTTGCCCATTGGAATGAATGAGAATTCCTTTGAGCTTTTGACTCAATTTTGTGACTCAAATTTCAGTGTTTTATGTTTTCTGACTTGATTATATAATGCTTTTCTCTTGAAGAAATAATTTACTCTGTTTAAACGCGACTTGCTAATTGTTTCACTTGTATGAACCTGTGGCTTTTGTTGAAACATTTTGGCTAGTGTGGAGTTGTAGTGACCGTTTACACAGATCTTGCTACCGAGTAATTTTTATCAGGAATGTACTGCTGTTCAGCTGTTCTCATGTATAATGTGATGTTACATGGACTGATCTTTTAGTATCCAACCTAGCAAGGTCTGTGGTAATTGAGGGACGAAAGAAAATTTTATCGTGAGCACACCTTCAAGTGGCCTCCACTCAATGCTATACTGATCTTTTTGTTTAGCATCTTGTTAGTATGCTCTATGAGTATATGTAGCTGAAGTGTGTTGTTATGCTCTGTATAGCGGCCTCCACCCATTAGGCTCTGTTTTAGTTGTTATGCTCCATCCGCGACCTTGCAGTAATGTAGTTACAATCTACGGCCTTGTATTTTGTGAGGGTATATACAATTATACATTGACAACATTGTGATCAATGCATCAATCATCTTTAGAATTGAATGAAATGTACTCAACTTATCTTTGCTGCATAGTTGGCCATTTTCAGCACGTTCTGACCAATTCTCTTTTGAAGTGTCCATGTCAACGTTGAAGTGTAAAGTGCACGAACATCAGAACATGGATTGTTAAGTTGAAACAGAAGTTCATGTAATCTTTTAATATTCTAAACAATTTGGTCATCTGTTGTTTCCCCTTCCTCTTCCCTAATTAAATAAAAGCCCCACTCTGTTTTTTTTTTCCAACAGAAGATGTCAATGACTTTTTTGGGGTGAGTATGCTGTGTTGAATGTAATGAGATAAGGTTGCCATAATTTTCATTCTGCTGAACGGTAATAACAGTGCGTATTGAGTTCCCTTGACCGTGCTCTTGCTAGCATCTATGTTGCATTGTTGTTATTGTTGCTGCAGCACGGTTATATCGAAGGTTTTTGGTACTGTTCGTTTTAATAACCTTGACTAATATTTTGTATCTACTATCTCGTATGATTTCTGCTTTGACAAGATATTCAGTTAGATTATGTCAATTATTATGAAACGAGATGGAGGAGGGGAGTATTTCAAAACCATCTTTAAGAAAGTCAAATGATGAAGAAGAAACAAAGTGGGAAAACGCCATTCAAATCTTGATGAAAACGGAGTTTTGCGATTTCTCCCAAAAGGGTACAACTGTACAAGATTGTGTAATCAATCTGGCAAACAACAAGGAATCAACACAGGCTTCAATGTTGCACTGATGTGAGCAACACAAATTAACGTTGTTGTTATCAATGATTGTGTAAAATGGTGTGATCTAGGGATCATATGCTTTTGCCTAGGGATAACTTCATTCCCTTTCTAAGAATCTCTGCTAATCTATGTGCCCTCCTGGCTTCCCTTTTATACGGGGTTTTAGAAAAATAAAATAAAATAAAATAAATTATTTCAAACATAATTGAAGGCTTGAAGCTTACTCAAAACTCTTTCAATCAAACTCTTTCAAGGTTCCGGACATGTCAAGCTGCATGGCTATACTTTCAGTGCTCTTTCTGGTGTTAACGGTTTTAGATGCGACTAATTGTATTTGGCTGCGAAGGGCTTCATTTTGTTTGGTAAGACTGGTGAGTTTGGCTTCAGTTTGGACTTTTTGAGCCAGCAGTGTTTCAATTTGGCTTTTCTGCTGGTCTAAAGTTTGGCGGAATGCGTTCATTCCTTCACTAATTTATGAAAGGAATGGTGTCCTTCGAACAAGTGTATTATTCTGATAGCGGGTTCAGAATTATTAGAAAGCTAATATATTCAGTAAGGTCAAGTGATTGGAATGCCTGGGTGGAGGCCGCTTCCGATCAGTAATATTAATATAATTAATATTACAGCTTAATCTTGACTGAACCCTTCAGGTCACACCCAAGCAAATATATGCGAACCAACTCGACGAATTAATTCGGAAGAAATTAATTCGTCACCCGAGTGTTAAATAATTAGACGTCGGTAATTCGAGCTTAGAGCGTCGAAACCGATCGTCGGAAGTCGAGTCTAAATAATAAAAGACGAGACGCGCAAAATAATAATAAATCAACAATATTCCCGAAAATACCCATAGCATCGGAGTGCCCCGAGCATCCGAATGCTAATGCTAGGGGCAAGACGAGCCAGCGCACTGTGCTGCAGCCACGGCTAGGCACATCAGCAGCCGCAGCCGCACCATGCCACAGCAGCAGCTGGTGCGGGCCAGGTGCGGGCTGGCTGCGGGCTGGGTGCGGGCCGGGCTTGGCTCGTGGCTTGGCTCGGGCCATAGGGCCGTGTATAAGGGGAAGGTTGGGAGCAAGTGGGTTGCCATGTGGCACAAGGTGAGGGAGAGAGTGGGGAGCAAGTTTGGTCCCCATCTCCAAGTGGTCCTCACCTACTCTCTCATGTATGCTTGACACTTGTTGATTTATTACTAGTTTGCTTAATAATTTTATTTTAGCTTTAAAATAAAATGAGAAAATCTCATTGTCCCACATTGATGGGAGAGATTTTCATACTTCATCATTCCCTATAAATACCCAACTTTGGGCATAGGAAATGATGCTTGAGTGGGAGTTAAAAAGAGCATTCCATAATTTTGGGAAAACTCTTAAACTCATATAACACTCGGGTTTTGGTCGGACCTCGCTAACCCCTAGGTAGTAGACCTTAAAGTTGTGTTCGCCCTTTTGTGGGGGGATACCGTCGAAGGCGCGGCGCTTGACGTGCTCGTAGCTTTCAAGTAAGAGCCCCGGTGTTTGGGCGAAGCTCGCTTCGAGGGTAAGATTCGTGATCTTTTCTTTGTGATTATTTATTTATGCTTTATGATTTTAATTATTGCGAGTGGTTCCTCGGGTAGGGGTTTGTTTCCGCGGTGAGTCAGACTCACTAATCCCCAACAATTTCGGCAATGGTAAAGGGTACTGGTTGCCCAGTCATGGTGTTTGTCTTGGTTTTTTGGCGAATTGGTAGGTTAATTGATTATCAGCCCCACGGTGGGCGCCAAATTATTTAGGCAAATCTCAATAAGGACATCTAAGAATTTGCTAGGTTTCAGGGGTAATAACAATCATTCTACCAATAGCATATAAAACAACTAAGAACGATGATAAATCAATAAGTAATCAATAAGTAAGCAATAAATATTCAATTACATAAAGAAGATGAGTTTAGAGATACAATACTGAGTAAGGACAGACCTCCTTGTTCAGTAGGGATGCAATTCCGTAGATAACAGTAGAACAAATTGTTTATATTTTAGTATATGCGAACGTACATGAGTGTTAAAATGCCTAATTCTTCTTATTTATACCTAGGGGTCTCTAGGGTTTACAAATTTATTCAGAATATATTTCAAACGTATAGGATCTTCTTGATTTATCTTGTTTCCTGCTCTGTAGGTGTATCTTTGGCAAGTATCTCCTTGATTGATACGCTTGATGCTGCTTTCCTTGTTTATTCCAATCAAGCCGTTTTGCGTATTCTTGCTGATTTATTGATCTTGGATTGGTGCCCTAAGTACAATGGGTCGTGTGATAATACGGACCCAACAATAACATGATTTATATCGAATTTAACAAATATACTACTACGTAAATTAGTAAAATTGTACAATCAAGTTTCAGTTTTGATCGTAAATATAGTATATTAGATATCAAATTTTATGCAAATCATTCCTTTCATATGTACCTTGTGTGATTGTGTAAGTGAGGTAGTTGCATAGTAGTTGACTAGTTGAGTGTTTTATCTTTGCTACAATTTGATTCTATTCTTACCAAGAGAGAAAGGTGTAACCTATATTAAAAATTTAAAATGAACTGAGATTATCAAATGACCAAAAACCACTTGGTTCATGTAAAAATTTTCAAAGATGGTGGTTATTGATGGTGATTAATTACTATGAGATATAGAAGTTCTTCCAAAATCCATATGTACCTATTAGAAAAAAAAAAACTCTTGTGTTGAACTAATTGCTAGTATTTAAAAATTGGTTTATTAGGGAGGGATTCTATGTAGTAAGAAGAATAACATTGCTGTTTTCATCGTTTGCCTTTCTCTTGTCTCTTGTAATGGTAAAACTTTTATGGGATGTATGACATTTAAGATCAGCTAAACCACAAACTTCTCAATTTCTCATTATAATAGGATTGTCAATTAGTTTAGTCAATCAAAATCTTTGAACCTAGTCCGTGTCCGGTTTTAAAGTTTCTGTATTAGCCTTAGTGCTTCAACTAGCATAGTGCCCGTGCGATGCACGGATTATAAATCAAATTATTAAACACGTAGGAAAAAAAAAAAAAAAAAAAAAAAATAATTCATTTACTATTAAAGGACTTGTACTTATGGTCAATAAAAAAAAATTAAAGGAACGTTATTTGAATAGTATTTTATGTTATTTGAAATTCTTTTAAAATTTTATAATGTTATTTTATTAATTGAAAAATAATTGAATAATACTCCACATAGCTATATAAGAAGTGAAGAGTTGGAAGCGTATGGTGAGGGAGGATGATCATACCATGCAGGAGAGTTTGAACATTGCTGGAGTAAAAAGGAAGGAGTCAAGGGAGGGTAGTATTGAAGAGAATAGTATACTTAACGAGAGTATGGTGTGTAAAAAAATGAGAATTACAGGAGCTTCAATTGACAAAGTGGCGAGCCCCACACAGTGGGCTCTCGGTGATAAATGAGTCACATCATCTCGTGGAATTGTAGGGGGTTGGGGGGCACTCCTGCAATTAATGCTTTGAAACGTATAGTGTTTCTTGAATGTCCCCAAATGGTGTTTCTTTCGGAAACAAAACTGAAATCTTTCGAGTTTGAAAAAATAAAACAAAAAACGAAGTTTGAGTGTGCTTTGGTGGTAGATTGTGAAGGTGAAGGAAGAAGGAGACGGGGGGGGGGGGGGGGGGGGGTTAGCTTTGATGTGGAATAATTCGATGAATTGAATGTCACTGTCACGTCCTACTCCCAAAACCATATTGATGCTGAAATTGTCTCAAACCAGCAAGGGAGGTGGAGATTCTCTGGCATCTATGGTTTCCCGGATGATGATAACAAATTTAGAACGGGGCTGTTGCTCAAAAGCTTGTGGGGTAGTCATGACAGCCCATGGCTGTGCGGAGGGGACCTAAATTTAATGTTGCAGTCGAGTGAGAAGATGAGTGGGCGAAGTTTTTGTGATGCGGAAGCCGATATCCTTAGAGAAGCGGTGGATTATTGTCAGTTGGAGGACCTTGGGTACCTTGGCCATGATTTTACATGGGCAAACAATAGAGGAGGAGATGAAAATATCCAGGAACGCCTTGACAGGTTCCTAGCAAATCGTTCTTGGTGTGTCATGTTCCCAGCTTCGTTTGTTACTCATCTTACCAAACGAAGATCAGACCACCTGCCCATACTCTTGTGTATCAAGGAAGATCTCCATATGCCAAAGAAAAAAAAGAAGAAGAAAAAGATGTACCGCTTTGAAGAAATGTGGCTTCGTGATGAGAACTGTGAAAGGATAGTGTCCGATGCTTGGGATAGGGGAGGTGACCTTTGTTCAAAAATTGCCTTCACTTCTTCTAATCTTAGTGCGTGGAGTAGAGATAAATTTAGGGATTTTGTGAAGGAACTCCAAGCTTGTAGGGGGCAAATGGAGCATCTTATGGGTGAACCCCAAACGGAGGAAATTATTGCCCAAATGCGTGCAATTGATGATAGGATCGATGGATGAGCTTGAAAGAAGGGAGGAAATGTATTGGAAGCAACGGAGTAGGCAAGATTGGCTCAAACATGGTGATAAAAACACCACATTTTTCCACTCGAAGGCCAAGCAGAGAGTTGCTCGAAATAACATTAAAAAAATAAAAAATGCTGCGGGTACAGAGTTCGAGGAGGAAGAGCAGATCATGGAGGTTTTTGTGAATTATTTTGAAGATCTCTTTGCCGAGAATAGTATAGTGGAGCCGGAGCCTGTAATTGAAAAGGTGGAAACAATTGTAACCGAGCAGCAATGCAGCAACCTGGCAGCCCCTTTCAACGCTGAGGAGGTTCGTGTGGCTCTTTTTCAAATGCACCCGACAAAGGCCCCTGGACCGGATGGTATGTCTGCAATCGTTTTTTCAGAAATTTTGGGATGTGGTTGGTGTTGATGTGATTGAGAAAGTGCTTGAGATTTTGAACAATAATGGTGATATAGGTACTATTAATCAGACTCATATTGTTTTAATTCCGAAAAAAATGATTGTGAGTCTCCTGTTGATTATAGACCTATAAGTTTATGTAATGTTATATATAAAATAGTCACCAAAGTTCTAGCTAATAGACTAAAGCTAGTTCTCCCGTTCATTATACACGAGTCGCAGAGTGGGTTTGTTTCGGGGCGTTTGATCACAGATAATATTATGGTTGCATATGAATGTTTTCATTATCTCCGGAAAAAAAAGACAGGGAAGAAAGGCTTTATGGGTCTCAAGCTAGATATGAGTAAGGCCTATGACAGGGTGGAGTGGGTTTTTCTGCAGAAAATGATGATTAAATTGGGATTGGCGGAATCTTTTGTGAGTCTGTAATGAAATGTGTAAGCTCTGCAGAATTTGAGGTTTTGGTGAATGGGCAACCGTCGAGGAGGTTTAAACCTAGTAGGGGGCTACGGCAAGGGGATCCCCTATCGCCATTCCTTTTTATCATGTGTGCCGAAGGATGTCATCATTGCTTAGGGATGCCGAGAATAGGAAGATCATTCATGGGATTAAAATTGGGAGACATGTCAATCCTATCTCTCATTTATTTTTCGCAAATGATAGTCTTTTATTTGTGAGAGCTTCGAAGGAGGAGGTGGAGGGTGTGTTGGAAATCCTTTCTACTTATGAAGTGGCTTCTGGTCAGAAACTGAATATGGACAAATCAGAGGTGTCTTTCAGCCGAAACATTGAGCAAGAACGGAAGAATATGCTTCAGATGAAGTTATCCTTTAAGGCCGTCGAAAGACATGAAAAATACCTCGGGCTTCCAACTTACATTGGTAGTTCGAAGAAACAGGTTTTCCATAATATTCAGGATAGAGTTTGGAAGAAACTTAAAGGGTGGAAAGGGAATTTTCTGTCACAAGCAGGAAGGGAGGTCTTGATAAAGTCTATAGCCCACGCGATTCCAACATATGCAATGCATTGTTTTTCGATCCCAAATAGCATCCTAAATGGGATTGAAAAAATGTGTCGACAATTTTTTTGGGGTCAAAAGGGTGAAGAGAGGAAGCTGTGTTGGGTGGCTTGGGAGAAGCTATATGTGTCAAAAAAGGAGGGGGGCTTGGGTTTTCGGAACATGAAAATTTTTAATGAAGCTCTCCTTGCTAAGCAAGCCTGGTGTATTTTGTCGAATGAAGACTCTTTCGTGGCTAGAGTACTTAAAGGGAAGTACTTTCCCCATACGACCTTAATGGAAGCCAAGATACAAGCGAACGCAAGCTATACTTGGAGATCAATCATGGGTGCGCGAGAGGTTCTTGCTAAAGGGGTGAGAAAAGCAGTTGGTAATGGATCTACGGTGCACAATTGGAAGGATCCTTGGATCCCAAACCTTCCGAATTTCAGGGTAGGCAGTAGTCAAAGGCTGGAAGAAGGGGAGCCCATTTTTGTTCGTGACTTATGGTCTGACAAATGCTGAAATATTCAGACTCTTGAGGCTTGGTTTTCTTCGGTGGAAGTGAATGAAATATGTAATATTCCGATCCCAATGTTTGATAGAAAGGATTCATGGGTGTGGCATTATACGAAGGATGGGAATTACTCAGTTCGTAGTGCTTACAACCTTCTCACTGTTGAGCAAAAAAATGATACGGCCTCGAATTCGACTACAGTGAGTAAGGTAGACTGGTCAATGGTCTGGGATGCTGAGCTTCCGCCTAAAGTAAAATTTTTTTCTTGGCGTGCTATGAAGAATGCCGTCGCTGCTAGGTACAGTTTGGCCAAACGCGCTATGCCTATCGATACTACTTGTCCTATGTGTGGAAATGATGTCGAAAGTGCCCTGCATATGTTGATTAAATGTGAAGAGGCGAAGCGAATCTGGTATTGTTCTCCGTTGAGGCTGGAGGTGGAAAATTTTGAGGGTGATACCTTTGTTGAGTGATGTGTGGGTGTGAGAAAGCATTATACAGATCCCCATTGGTGGAACTTGTTTTGGAGTATCTTGTGGGGTGTTTGGCTTAGGAGAAACGCTTGGGTCTTTGATGGGAGAAAGAAAGATGCTAGTGAAACCATCCACAAGGCTGTGGGAATGGTGGGTGATTATGAAAGTGCTCTGGAGAATTCTACTTTGTCCTCAAATCCTCAGCAGTTTGAATCTCAATGGAAGCCACCGGTGGAAGGAGTGATCAAAATCAATTCGGATGCAGCAACTTTTGGCTCGAATCAGGTGGGGTTGGGTGCTGTAATGCGGGACAGAGTTGGTGATGTTGTTGCCTCGACTTGCCTTTGTCTTAAAGGTAATTATGAGGTCGATGTTGTTGAAGCATTGGCGATGAGACACGCCTTAGCCATATCCTTGGAGTCGGGCTTCAATAGAGTGTGTTTGAAAACAGATTGCTTGAAACTCCATCACCATTTGAAGAAGAAGACTGCCCCTGCTACTGCGTTTGGTCTGATTGTACATGACATTTTGAAGCTTGCTCTTCAATGCCAGGAATACTCCTCCTTTGTGAAACGAGGTGGTAATCGAGTTGCCCACGAACTAGCTAAAATTAGTTCTTCCTTTACTGAGCTTAGAGTATGGATGGAGGAGGTCCCTTTGGGCATCTCTGACTTTGTAATTGTTGATTTAAACGCTTTGATTGACTAATAAAGTTTGCTCATTTTCCGTAAAAAAAAAAAAGCTATATAAGAAGTGGACTAATTTATTTATATCTCCCGTTGAGAAAAAACTAAAATTTTCATATCATACCACCCGCATCAGTAGCTACAATCAATCTAATACATACATGTTTTATTTACCCGTCGCACTCATTAAATCTATAGACACAATAATAACCTTATATTTGACCTACCAGAACATATATTTTCCTAAGTTAAGCATTGTGCCAAAAACTATATATTATATAATAGTCATATATATAACCAATAGTTGATTAAATATAGTATACGACACAAATACTTCGTATATAGGTATGGATACTGATAATTTTATATAAATAAAATATACGGAGTATATATTACTAAGATTTATCCCTACCTTAATTATAAAAAGGTTAACAAAACTCTTATAATAGTGCATGGACATTTATATATCTAAAAATGTTCTTTTTACATATATTTTCCCCCATTTAATTTTAATGCCTTAAAATTGTCTCTTGAATTCGCTAAATTGATTTAAAAGGTTATGTTTATTTCAATATTTAAAGCCATTTACTATTTTCATTTCCTTTTGTTTTAATTTTTCTATTTAGAATTTATTAGACTATTAGGTTTCAAGATCGAAGTCAATATCTTTTTACCATACAATCACTAAATCAAAGTCGATCAACTAAAGTTTTGGACATTGCATAGCTACACAACATCCAACACATTTAATGATTACATGCAAATAATTTTAATAAAACTACGCATTCGATATAAGTTATTAAAAAATTTAACTATATATACATTTTGATAGGTTTATATCTTTCATATTAACAAAAATTTACAAATGTTATTATCATATTTTGAAAAAAAATAGACTTTGGAATTTTGTATAAGATAGATAAAGGATAAATTAATTCCCGTCATATATGCATTGAGTTTTGGGTGTTCTATCCGGTTCACCCTTTTCAGATTTGAGGATCAGTTCTAGGTTATTAGGTTTCACTCCCCTTCCGATTGTTGTTGCAGGAGAGCACACAAGTCCTCCCTACCAAGTGTAGTCTCAATCACCAATACACCAACAACCAATTGGTGTAGTGGTGATTGAGACTACACTGGTATGGAGGACACGTGTTATAAAATATTATATTATATACGTATACTTTTTTATATTATAAAAAATATTATATTATATACACATACTATTATAGTTAAAAGTATTATTATGTAAAAAACAACATAAATTATTGCACATGATTGTTGTATATCTAGTATAGTACATGAGCAATGCACGATTTTTAAATTAAAATGTTAGTTTTTCTAAAAAAAATTCATAAGTAATTGCATTGTTAATACGAATATTACAATTTAAAACATGAGTAATAGTTATAATACATTTTATATATCCTTTTTCGTCAAATGTCTAATACAATTTAACTTTTATTCCTCTTGTTTAGATTGGTTATTGGTTCAGAGGTTTTTTTTTTTTTTTAATGCAAGAAAAACAAAAGATCATTGTAAAAGACATTGTATAGAAATAAAAGGCTGATTAAAATTAAATTTATGTTCAAGATTATGTATTTTTTTCCAAGACAACATTTCGGCTCAGCATTCAGTATTTGTCAAGGAGTACAACAAACGATAAAAGTAATTTTTACACTATTTTGTATCTTTATCAAAAACTTTTGTATAAAAAACTTTTACATTATTTTGGGTAACTTTTATCAATAAAGCATAACTTTCATTCATTACAGGGTAGCTTTTATAATCGGTGCACAATATTTTATTGTACATCTGATTTTTTTTAAATGTTTGTACTGATTTCATAATTGACGTCAAAATAAATATTATCGATTTTATTTAATTTTCATAAAAAAAAATAATATTAGCCTTTCAAAATACGAAATATTTGTTTCCTTAATTATGCCACTTTAATCATATTGCTTCAAATTAGTTATTATTCTTTAACTTAACTATAAATAAAGATTGAAAATATTTTATGGATTATTTGTAGTATTGGAAAGTATATATTTATTATAAAAAATTAAATCAATATTTATGTTAGGAAATCATGAAAATCTTATGCATGTATAGAAACTTGCTTTTATTGTTTGAAGTTTAACAAAAATAACTATGCTTAAATACGTAAACAGTAATTATATAGATATATTTTATACATAAGATAAGCCAATGAGAGAGTGACATTTATCATCCTCACATTGAGGTGCTTGTCTTTTAGTATAATAGATAGATAGATAGATAGATAGATAGATAGATGGTGCTGCATTAAGGGACAAAATTGCAATTTTTAGAATGTTCAAGAGAAATAATATTCTAGCTAAACATCAATGTTTGTAATTTCTAAACAACAATGTAATATACAAAGTACTTAATAACAAAGACTATCATTAAATTTGTATACTAATTATTTCGTTTTTGATGATTACAAACTTTACGATTTCATTTCTTATATAAAAATAAGCTGTGAGTAGACAAAATTTATGAGCAAAAATTTTATACTCTATATTTGCACAGGGTCTCCAAAAATGTTGTGACGACTCTGATTGGGAAGGGATTGGAATCTAATCACCCAGAATTGATCCCCGAATCCAGATTACTCCAAAGAGTGAATCGGGTGGAACACCAAAGGAAAAAAAACAAAGAAAAATACGACACAAGCTTGAAGCTTCTATTCGTGCATTTGAGGGGTCATTCACTCATTTGCCCCCATCAACTTTTTCGGAGGGGTTTAAACCTATTCTTCTGTAAGTATAATCCTAATAATCAGTAGGTGTAGATTCAATACAAGTCTACTTCAGCTAGCTTGGCCCATCTACAAGGAGAGGTTGTTATATACACTTAAGTGTACCGTACACCCATGAATATTTATTCTCATTTTGATAATTGTTTTTATTTTATCATCAAATGAAAAACAAAAACTAACCTTAGATTAGTTGGATGTATATATCAAATTCTAATCTACAAGTGATATCCAACATATTAATTCTTGTTATTGTTGTTAAGGTTGTATGTGTTTTATTTGACTCTTAATCTTCAATACCATTTATTAATTCTTTTCTTTTATCTTTTTTTTTGGCATATTAATTCTATAAAGAACATGATGATATTATGATACTTCGTATTATGTAACAAATATTATTTATATCTACCTATCATGATCCAAATTAAAGACAAAAATCAAAATATATTTCAGAATAAGTAATTAACATACATTATTATGCGATTATATATAAAACTAGTTTAAGTCCCGCGCAATGCACGGTTTTTACTTAACCTAATTTTTAATTACAATATTAATTTAACAAAAACTTGAAATAGATACTTGAATTTCTTTAAAATAATAATAATAATAGTAATAAATTAAAAAAAAAAAAAGCAAAACAAAACTTGAGTTTAATATTATATTGATGTCAAAAGTTATTGATCATTAAACATTTTTTTTTAAAAAAAAAACACAAATTTAATGATTATAGGATTTTACATAAGAATTAAATTTTATGTTAATTATAACCCGTACAATGTACTTTTTTTAGAGGAACATGTGTAATGTACATACCTCAACGTCCCAATTTTGTTGGCATGTTTTGACCGGCACAATGTTTTATAGCTTACTTTGACCGATATAATGTTTTATACAAACTTAATTGACTTTTTTTTTATAATTAATAATCAAGGTTTTTTATTTTTATTTTATGTCTTTATTTATTGAATTGTAGTGTTATTATTATAAATAAATCAACAAATATATACGTCGTAATAAAAGTTAAAGAGTCAATCCAGGTTGGAGCAAAAAAAAAAAAAAAAAAAAAACTTCCAAAGAAAAAAAATATCAAAATGATATGGAGTAGTACATTATTATTGTAATATATTACTCCCTCTGTCCCCAATTGATATTCACTTTTGAAGAATAATCACGGGAATTAAGGAGAATTAAAGAAAGTACATTGAAAAAGTAAATTTACATTGGATATGCAAAAAAGTAGAGATAGAAAGTAACTAAAGTACATGGGAAAGTAAAATTTACATTAAAAAGTTAAATTTGCACAAAGATATTTGCAAATGTTAGAGAATTTTGGTAAAAAAATAATATTAATGATACTTGAAAAAAGCAAATGTGACTAACATTTTGGGTGTCAAAAAATGACATAAGTGACTATCAATCGGGGACGGAGGGAGTATATGTTTGTTTATTTTAGAAAAAAATACCTATTATAAAATAATGAAAGATAGGTTAAAATATTATTCATTTATTATCATTGATGCATATAGATTATAGAATATACTTTGTATATAATATAGTTGCCAAATTGAAGGTTAAATATTCTAATATATATAAATAAATATTCACGATGATTTGTAAAAAAAAAAAGTTAAAAATGGGGGAAAATTTTTAACTAGAACATGACAAGACAAGTGTCATGTCAGATTCACCTTTAGTATTATGTTATTGATTGCCAAATTGAAGGTTAAATATTCTAATATATATAAATAAATATTCATGAAGATTTGTAAAAAAAAAAAAAAAAAAAGGAAAGTTAAAACTGGCGGGAAATTTTTTAATCAAAACATGACAAGTGTCATATCAGATTCACCTTTAGTATTATGTTATTGATTGATTACATTATTATTACAATCAAAGAATATGAACATTTAAAATAGTTTATCAAGAGATACAATAAAAATCTTTGATAATATATGGAAACAATATATTGTTAATATTTTTTTGTACATGCATTACAAACAAATATAAATCGGAATATTTATCTCTAGCGGGTACATAACTATACTCTAGAAAATCGACCATTACGACCATGGCAAATTACTCAATGCACCTGTGGTTGGTTGTTAGGGCCTGTTCTCATTGACTGAATTCAGCTGAACTGAACTCAGCTGAACTGAACTGAAATGAACTAAAATGAATATTTTATAAGAGAAGGAAATTAGGAGCTGAACTGAACTAAACTGAACTAAACTGAACTGAATTGAGCTGAACTAAACTGAACTCAACTGAACTCAACTGAACTGAACTGAACTGAATTTCAACGTAAGAGAACAGACCCTTAATGAATAAAGTAATCCCAATAACATTAATCGAATAACTCCTGTAATATTGACCGAGCTGAGTAAACATTACAACATTGACGAAATATAATCCTTGTAACATTGATCGAGTAACCTCTAAAACACTAAGGAAGTAATCCTTTTAACATTGACCGAGTAACTCCCTATAACACTGACCGAGAAACCTCATAAGTCTAACAAAGTAACACTTGTAACACTCACATAGTAAACCCTATAACACTAACGAAGTAACTCTCATATTGCCTGGCCACATGGCCACACCCCACACATGACCAACTACATATAAGAAAATGTGATACTTTTAGATACAATCCTTTTTATTTTTTATTTTTATTTTTTAAGAAAACAAGTTTGGTGAGAAATTTTGTTAATAATTTTGCTTTTAATGGTATGTAATTTAATATAGTAGCAGATAATTCTCAAGCCATACATGCTCGATTTTATAAATTATTGATGATTAAAATAGAGTTTCTAAAAACCCTAGCCTCTCTTTCCTCTCTTCTCTCTCTAAAACCCTAGCCTCCATTGTTGAATTTTGGAGGGGCTTCCATCGATTTTTATCGGTGGAAAGCCCCAATTTTTTTTTTGTGTGCTTTTTCTACTGTTTTAGGTTTATAATAATAATTCTTCCTCTTTTAGGAGGAATATTTCTCCCTCGAAAGACAGGGTTTTTCTTCTTCTTTAGGAAGATTTGACTCTTTCGAAAGACCGGGTTTTTCTTCTCTCTTTTGAGGGAGGATTTGCTTTTTTATTTTATGGATTGCTATAGAGTTGTTTTATGGGTAAAATTTTGTGCGAGATTGAAAAAGAGGTTAATATGTCGATTACAATCTAGCGAATCAGACGAAAATTTTCTGCAGGGCTACAACAGATCGATAGACCCCCTCGCCAATGAAGGCTGTAAATCACAACGATATGAAAAGAGGGTATGAAAAATGTACGATTTGCAACAACGATCGTAGCTTTGCTTATGAAATGTTTTTATTTGATTCAATTATTATGTATTCATTAGATCTAAATCTCTTTGTAGATGTCGTATGACTTTATTTATGAATCAATTTTATTTCAAAAAAAAAAATTACAGAAGTTTCTAGAGAAATATAACACAATAATCAATTATATTAATATGTATACTGAAATTCTTAGGCAAATCAAATTTTTTTTTACAAATAAATAAATACATATATATATAGAATTAATGAGAGAAATATCTCTTAAAAAAAAAACTCCAATTTATTAGTATCAATTATCTGATTAAATTGTATCATATGATACAAAATTGAGGTTAAATTGATGTATGATTCGAGCTTAAGTGATACTTTTATAGAACCTCTTGTATAGATTTTGATTTCAAAACTTACGGTTCTCAGCAGGTTCTGGTTCCTATTCAGAATACCCTGATTTTTTGCCCACTCTTATGTGAACTATGTATTGAAAAATGGAGAGACCAATTCAACAAAAATGCTCATACATAGTACATAAAGTAATAATTGATCTTGTTTTCAAAAATAAAAATAAAAAATAGAAGTAATAATTGATCCTTGAGAGTACCCACATTTTACATCACAAAGATACAAAAATGGGCTTAAATAATTAAATTGATGTATTATTTGGATTTAAGTGATACTTTTATTGGGTTGAATTGTTGAAGGATACCCTATAGATTTCGTTTCCAAAAATTTGAGAAACTGAGCCAAACAAATTAAAACTTGTTGCCAACATATTTTTCATTTTACTACTTAAACAAGAACCTCTTATACAAATTTCGATTTCAAGACTTGCACTTTCTAAGAGGTTATGATTCCGAATCAAAATACCTGATTTTTTCCTCAATCCTATATGAACTATGTATTGAAAAATGGAGAGACCTTTTCAACAAAAAGTATCTCGTACGTAGTCATAAAGTAATAATTGACCCTGGTTTTCAAAAAAAAAAAAAAGTTATAATTGACCCTTGTGAGTACCCACATTTTACATCAAATAATAATTCAGTTCTCCACTTATTTCCACTTTAAAGCCCCAAAACTTAGAGAACCATTCATTTCGGTATTTCCAACTATTCTCATCTATAATATTTCTGTTGTTTTCAAATTCATTTTCTAAAAAAAAAAAAAAAAAAAAAAAGGCAATTATGGCAGTAGTAGAGATGGTAGTTTCAGCAATGTTTAAAGAAGTGTTGGATAAATTAGTGTCCGAAGGAGTGAAGCAGTTCGTGAAGCTGTTCAACAAAGGAAATAATTCTAAAAATAAAATCAAAATCGAAGAATGGAAGAATGAGCTGGAGATGATTCAAGCGGTGTTGATTGACGCTGAAAGGAAGCAATGTGATGAGCAACACGGAGCAGCAATCAGATTATGGCTCGAGAATCTTCAAGACTTGGCTTTTGATTTGGAGGATCTTCTGGATGACTTTGCGTATGAAGCCTTGAAAATGAATGATGATTTTGATGTTCAACATTTCAAGAAGAATGCTCGTGGATTCCTTCCAACTTCCTTCCATAACATGGTTTGTACTTCTATCTCTCTCTACTACTCAATTTCTTTTTTTAAAGACTATATATGCTCCATAGCATCTCCGTTTCACAAAGTGTTACACTTTAGTCGATACAAGATTGATATAATAGTGATGAATTGTCCTCTAATTAATTGAATTAGGAAGATGAAAAGTAGATTAATTGATTAGGTGAATTGAATGAGTTCATTGGGGGTAAATTAAATTGGTGAGAATAATTGAATAATTAAGTTAGATAATTCACTTGATAAAATTTGATTTAGTTATATAATTGTATTTGAGACATATTTCGTAGTTCCCTAGTACTTTTAGTGAAAACATTTTAACATGACCTCCTAAGCAATTCTTGGAGTAGAGGGAAAAAAAAAAAGATAGGGCTCATATGATTGGACAGAGATAGAGAGAATTTATTAGTTAAAAAGGAAAGTGATCAACTAATTTTAAACGGCCATTTTAGGAAAATGATGTAACTAAAAATGATGTACTTAGCATTTTCTAAAGACGACTACGTATTATTTATGCTCTACATAAAGTCCCCTCTTTTTATAAGTGTCACAATTTCATCGATACAAGTCATTAGGATATAATAATATAACTAGTGTATGGCCCGTCCCGGGTTGTTAGTTTGTATTTGTTTAATTTGCTAATCAAATTCGACTGTTTAGATATAAGACTTATTGGTTTTGAGTTTAAATCTTGTTATAAACATTTTTTAGTTGTCAAACTCAATCATTACATAATCGAAACAAATAGTATAATATAGGACACAAATTAACTTATTAAAGTTAACTATAGTTTTGTAGGATAAAAAAACACAATTAATAGTTTATTGAAAATAATGAATGTGAGAGGAGAGATATAATAAAAAAGTAATATTGGGTTTGGGTGGGGATCATGAGAGGAGAGAGATATAATATTTTAATGTAGTTTTTTTCCAAAAAAGGAAGTGTAACACTTTTTTTAATTTGATAAGTGTAACTAGGGGTGGGACTTTTCAAACCGAACCGTGAAACCGCCCGTTACCGAACCGAACCATCACGGACCGATCCGTTTATAAACCGATAAATGTAAACCGAAAACCGAACTGAACCGTTCAATATTAAACCGAAACCGAATTGAACCGCTCAATGTCAACCCGTTACGGACCGTAAACCGATAACAAACCAAACTGCGCAAATCCGAACCGAAACGAAACCGAACCGAATGGTTTATAAACCCGTTAATGACCCGAACCGTTTATAAACCGAAACCGTTTAAACCGAAAAAAAAAAACCGTTTAAACCGAACCATTTGTAACCCGCTAACCGTTTAAACCGACCCGTTTATGAACCGAAACCGTTTAAACCGCACGTATAAACCGAACCGTTATAATCCGCTAACCGTCTAAACAGAACTGCCATAACCCGTTAAACCGTTAAAATCGAACTTGATTAGGGGATTTTGCTCCTACCAATCGGAATGCGCCACGTGGGCCAATCAGGTCCTGCCAAGTGTCCCCCAGTTGGAACTGTCAGGGCTTGCCACGTGGCACGCGCTTATTTGTCCACCTTGGACCTATTATGTCATGACACGTGGCATACTCCATGCCTAATGGAGAAACCGGCCACCCAGGCCCAGCTTTCGAGGGAAGCCCAATCAGCCCTAGGTTAACCTAAACCTAGGATTGGCACGTTTCCCAAGGTTATAAATACCTCCCTTAATCCTCATTAAGGGGGGATTACAGAAAAAACACATTAAACACTCTCACCTAGAGAGACCCAGTCACTTTAATTTCCGCATTAATTACTCCTTAATCAAGTACTAACTTGACCGTTGGAGGCGGAGCTGCCACCACCAGGAGTCTCCGTTGTTTTGCAGGTACAGGCGTCCGGTTCCAGTCTCGGAATTGTAACTCTCCCGCAGGACATCAGAAAACCCCAAAACATTTGGCGCCGTCTGTGGGGAGAGTACTTCTGAGATGGCATCCAAGTCTGTACCGACTCCTGAAGAGAGGCGTCCCCTAGACGACCCTCAAGTTCAGTCGGACCACGATACTGAGAGTGAATTTGAAGTTGAAGCTCACACAGCTTCAGACGGGACCCTAAGGGCCCGACGTACCCGTCATACCGAAAGGAGGGAACGGGAACATCTTCAAACAGGAAGTGAGCCAGCAGGCGCACCGCCTGTTCGGCAGCAGCCGACTGATGGGTCTTATCCCATCACAAGGAACGAACTCATGACCTTCATGAGGGACTTCAAGGGAGAGATTCAAGAGTTGATCAACAAGAAGTCGCCTGCTCTGGTCAAGGAGCAGTTGGCTAAGAAACCCTCCACTTCACTGAAGAGGAAGCCAGTTCAAGGGCGAGAGGCGACTCCTCATCCTAAATCTAGGAAGCGGGAGCGACCTGCCCTTGATTTCACAAAATTCCGTTTTCCTACAGGAAATAGGAAACCTGTTCGTCATATTCAGGCGGACGGGTCGAAGCAAACATTCACAGACGCTCGGCTACTGCTAGAGCAGAAGAAGAGTGACCGATTGTCAGAGTCGGCCTCTACTTCAAACTTCCAAGACAGTCTGCAAAATACCTCAATGAGGCATACACAGTCATATCATGAGAGTCGGTCAGGCGGTATCTCCCGTCAGTCCGGCTTTCATAGCGACCAGGCGGTACCAAACTTACCGTTTGTGCCGCAACAACAGTATTTTTTGCAGCCACCTCCGTTTGGTGGACATGCAGCAAAAAACGTCCAACCTATGGACTGGCAGCTACGGTTGCTTAGACTTGGTGAACAGCCGTCGGCCTTCTCCAAGGAAATTACTGAAGCCGCTCAGCCGGCCAAAGTGAAAAATGTATTAGTAGGCCCCTATGACGGCACTACTAACCCAGAAGACCATCTTATGGCCTTCACCAACCTGATGTACCTTCAAGGGTTGGATGATCCCACCTGGTGCAAGTGTTTCCCAGCGACTCTCAAAGGAATCGCACAACAATGGTTCGGCAACCTGCCGACTGGTTGTGTAAATAGCTTCAGGACGCTTGCTTACTTATTCACCTCCAACTTCGCCATGAACATCCCTGCGAAGAAGACGACCCTTGATTTAGGAACAATTCAGCAGGGCGAGAAGGAGGGTCTTCGTTCTTACATCAGGCAGTTTAACCTGATGAGAATACAGATTCAAGGGGTACCGGATGAGGTAGCCTATACTGACTTCTTCAGAGGTCTCAAGGACGGGTCGACCTTCAAATTTGACTTGGTCCGAAAGAGGGTGGCGACTCTTCAAGAGGCCTTGATGGAAGCGGAAGCCTATATACAGGCGACTAATCTTTGTAGTACGATAAAACAGTCGGACGGGAAAAGGTCCGACAAAAGAGAAGGACGACAGAAACAGTCGTCAAACAAGGATGAGAAGAGAAAAGAGGTCTGGGCGGCTGATTCCTCTAAACAGCCGGCCCAGAAAAAGAAAAAAGAATTCAAACCATACTCCCCAAAGTATGTGTTTAACAAGGATAACCAGTTTATCCTAAAAGAAATCAAGGGACGGATCTCAATTGAGAAGCCGGTCCCCATGAAGGGTTCTGCAAACAACCGGAACCAAGAAAAATTCTGTGCTTATCATGATGATGTTGGTCATCACACCAATGACTGCATCAGTCTCATGCGGTATCTGGACCGCCTGGCTGAGCAAGGTGATCTTCACACTTATATCAAGAAATCCACGGGGAACACTTCCTCAAAAAAGCACTCGGCCAAAAAGAAACAACAGGTCGACAGCTCTGATACAGATGATGCAGTCGTCTACACCATTGCAGGCGGCTTCTCAGGAGGCGGCCCCACTATTAGGGGCAACAAAGACAACATCAGACGGTTAGATGTAAATTCCGTTCACCAAGAACGGCCCTCCAAATATTCATTTCCTGAGATTGTCATCACTGAAGAAGATCTAGGAGGGGTAAGAGGGCCGCATGACGACCCTATCGTCATTGAATGTAAAGTGGCCAACCAAAGAGTTGGCCGAATCCTCATAGATACCGGAAGCTCCTCAGATCTCATCAGTAGCAAATGTCTGTCGAAACTAAAATATCAGACTGATTGCATACATTCAGCATCCCACCCTTTAGTAGGGTTTGGAGGAGGAGTCGTCCACCCACTGGGACGAGTGGATTTACCCATCCGCCTGGGCGAAAAAGGGGAAGGACGACACATGGTAGTCCGGTTCCTGGTAGTAGAAGAACTCTCGGCCTACAACATGATTCTGGGACGACCAACCTTGAATAATTCCAAGGCTGTTATAATCCCATCTCTTATGTTTCTCAAGTTTGAGAGGGATAATGGAACAGTCGGCTCCCTAAGGGGAGATCAGAGGATGGCCCGAGAGTGCTATCTCTCGGATGTCAAGCCCACTGTTATGGCCACTGGGTCAAGTGGTGAAAAAACAGACCTTGACAATGTCAAGGAGAGTGCGCCTGTTCAAGAAGCAGGCGGCAAGAAGAGAAAGGCATCCCAGACAGGGGCCGCAAGAAAAGAAAGAAAATAGCAATCATTGGCAGAGGAGCGGTCGGATGAGTTCCGCCCTCAGCCGGCTGGTGAGCTTACGGACCTGATCTTAGACGACTCACGTCCTGATCGAACAGTCAAAGTTGGGACGACTACTCTGAGAGACCTTGGTGACGACTTTCACAAACTATTGAAAGAATACAAGGACATCTTTGCATTCGAAGTCCATGAAATGCCAGGCATTAGTCCTGATCTGGCGGTACATAAACTGGCCGTGGATCCGAAAAAGAAGCCGGTACGGCAGAAGAAGCGGAACCATGGCGAAGAAAGAAGTCAGGCGGCAGCCGCCGAAGTTAAAAAATTACTTGACGCAGGGTTCATTAGGCAATGTTACTTCCCAGACTGGGTTGCAAATGTGGTGCTTGTTAAAAAGCCGAATGGCACCTGGCGAATGTGTGTAGACTACACAGACTTAAACAAGGCGTGCCCCAAAGACAGTTACCCTCTGCCCAAAATTG